CACACACACACACACACACACACACACACACACACACACACATGTGCGCGTGTGCACAAGGATAGAGAGAGAGAGAAAGAAAGAAAGACATGCGTTCACTAAGTTATACGATTAGAGCAGAAGGGCAGTTGGTTTGTACTGAAACCTAGCTACCGTAAGACTGTTCCGTTGTGATTTAGATTCTTAGATACCCTTTCCCTTCGAAAGTCGTTCAATTTTTTTGAAAGAAAAGATTTGGGAGGGGGTCTCCCGATCTCTTTTACACAATACAATCCTTGCTTACCCGGGGGGGGGGGGGGGGGGTTCTATGTTGACGTTATTTGCTTCTCTTTTAGTTAACAAACTCTCACGCCCCGAAAATAAAAATTTTCAAATGAGATCAAATAATTTGTCAAATTAATTTACTCATATAGTGTTTGTTTGCTGATATGGTGTTTGTCCATGACATTGTATCTACTGAACAGATCTCAAACATGCTATAACAATCTCTTTACAGACTGGACTCAAGCATCTCTGTACTTAGAAGGTCTTCTTCCCGGAACTGACTACTACTTTGACGACGCCTCTCTCACTGAAATACCCTCTAACCCGAACTGGGAGCGGGAAGCAAATCAAAGGATTGAGAATCTGAGGAAACAGAACTTACATGTGAAGTAAGTTTGGCGGTTTTGTATGAAATATAAGGCGAAATATTCCTTAATTATAAGCTTTCACTTTAACCTTTTGTGTTGCTTATATTGTAGTTAATTTTTGTCATATCTTCACTATTACAGTCTCACTAACCTACTTATACTTCCTACTTATATGTGATTCTATTTTTTTAAGATGACACAATTATCCCCATGGCTACCTGTCTTGGTGGAATCCTTCGTTGTCCAGATAGTGTGATCATTGAGGTAGAGAGGAATGATCTGCCTATCGTTGTAGTAAAAGAAATCAATTTCGAATAACCTACAAAGGTCTAATTATGTATAAAAATGACGGGCAGTATAAGAAGCTGTACTCTTTAATGCTCGTTTTGTAATCGTGCTATTTCTCTTTTTCAACAGTGTAAACCTTGGCTCTGGCTTTAGCCAAAAGGATGTGACTGTAGAGGTGAGCTCCTCTAAGTATACCTTGCTCCTCCTACCAGGTATTCTCAACCCTGGAATAGATTTTTGTTCTCTGTTGTGGGATTTCCTTTTTCGATTGTTTACCGTACATACATTTCGTAGTAGTAGTAGTAGTAGTAGTAGTAGTAGTAGTAGTAGTAGTAGTAGTAGTAGTAGTAGTAGTAGTAGTAGTAGTAGTAGTAGCATTTTATCATTATTATTTCTGTTATTATTATATCATTATCATCATCCACATCATCATCATCATCATCATCATCATCATCATCATCATCATCATCATCATCATCATCATCATCATCAGCATGGCCTTTTTCACCCTGGATCAGGATATAGGTCCAGAACAAACACTTTCCACTTTTCCCTATCCTGGGCAAGACACTTGATGTTACTTTATGTCTTACCACTTTTCAGTACATCAATTTCCGTGACTCTTCTCTAGGTTCCACGTGGTCTTCCCCGTGATCTTTTGCCCTGTGGATTCCAGTCTAACACTTTCCTTGTTATGCAGCTGCTTGACTTCCCGAGAGTGTGTCCAATCCATCGCCAACGCCTTCTTCCCACCTCATCTCTGACTGAGCTCTGTCTCGTTCTTCTTAATACTTTCTCGTTGGTGATCCTATCTGTCCATCTGATCCTCTATAGCTTCCTGAGACACTTGTTCAAGAAAACCAGGATCGTCTTTATTATTATTATTATTATTACTATTATTATTATTATTATTGTAACACATGGTGATATAACATTGCTATTATTATTAT